CAATAATCAAAACCACATAGTTCAACCAATATTAATGATTAAAAAAAAATATGTTACTACATACATCAAAAAGCAATTACAATTCCTTTAAACGTTAATTTATCATCTTTTTAGAATTAGTTTCCAGTTGTAAAATTGTTGTTAAGAATTAAATTAAAGAATAGCAATTAATAATAATAATATTATTAATTTAATTTAATATTATTAATTTAATATCATTCTGGTGGGACATAGGGACAGTTATACAGAGTTCACCTAATGGCCAAGTCACTTTTTATATTTTCCCATTTTTTCCAAGGAAAAACTGTCAGCAATGAAACAAATAAAATTTGATAATATAAAAATTTATATCACAATAAAATATTAAGTTTGAGTTGAGAAAATGGTCAAAATTGAAGCATTAAATGCATCATTTATATCACAATAAAATATTAAGTTTGAGTTGAGAAAATGGTCAAAATTGAAGCATTAAATGCATCTAACATTTACAATTAGAAGCATGCGAGGATAAATATTAAGTATGCAAGATGATTTATAGTTGGCATAAAAATCAATAGAAAATGAATTTTAAAGAGAAATTGATTTTATAAATATTAATTTTTGCTAAATACCTATAAACTGTGATATGTATTCAAATTAGTATTGTGAACTAGGGACATATGGCAATTCTTTTCTTGAAGGTTTTTCGTACGCCTGAATCTTTATCTACAAATACTAACAAATATCACCATACATCTATCTTGTTTCTACCTCGATCAGAACATACTATGACAACAAATACATTGATAATTCCAACATGGAAAAATACTCATGGGAAGAGAACCTTCCGATACCGAGCACCAATGCTCTGGAATGACCTTCCAGTTGATATTCATAAACATTTCCAAACTATTAAGTTGATTTTTAAACCTTTTAATTTCTTTGGTGCATTGTTTTTTTTTTTTTTTACCTCTTTTTTTCTTTCATCTGTTATTTTGTTAAATTATTTTTACTTAATCTGGATCTCTTGGGAGACTAGTACATCAATTGTATTGAAATGAGCTTTCCAGAATAAAGAAAGATTTGTATTGTATTGTAATAGGAAAACTGGGAATACATTTAAATGCAGGCTATATTAGTCCACTGTTTTTAAATTTTGTTTTTTTCATTTAGAACAAAATTTCCTGTTTGTTTTCATTTCAATTATTTAGTACAAGGAACAATAATATTGACAAAAACCTTTATAAATTTGGCAGGATATATATGAGCACATTCATCAACACATTAAATATGAAAGGTTCTTTTTCTACTGTATTTGAATGTCAATTTTAACAGATAAAACGTAATTCAAAATCTTTAAAAAATTGGCAGAAATGGTGTGAATGGACACCCAAACAAAACCATAAACTTAACCAGATATTGTTCGCATGGCCAGAACCTAGCCTATAAACTGAAATAACAAAGTTAACATCAGCAGAATAAGTAGGACAAGAGCTACTCATTTTAAATGTTACTCGCATGAGTAGAGTTAACATATTGCGGTTGATGACGGATGCTTCCCTGTAATGACTGCTATTACTGAGTGAATGTTTCCCGATGCTTTAGACACAACCGGAGGACTCTTTAATGAGACTTCCAACACAAATTATGCGTAATTAAACATAGTTTCACAATATTTGGTAACAAAGACATTCATTGTAATTTGAAGAATCTTTAATAGTTCTTTGTTTGTTATATTTTATAATTTTGTTCTTACAGTACAGTATACTGAATGATCATTTTCAGTGAGGAAGCAATGATATCCAGCAGTGGTTCAGCCAAACATTGATATAAAAAGTAAATGCAACTAAAGAAATAAAATAATAGCACAGTCAGTTAAACTCAAGACATGATGTGTGTACTGAACCACGATGATCTTTTCAGAACTTTTGGCTTAATTCTATCATTGCTCTCCTTTGGTTCCAGATAAAATGCAAGTTTCAAAAGCAGATGAGAAAAAGTGGAAAGAGTAAAGGATTGTCCTCTAGCCCCAATTCCCTACCAAAAGGACCTCACTAGAAAATTGTCTTCCAACTTTCGTGGCCTAACATTGGTACATTTCGTACCAAAGAAATCTCATTCAATCAAATCCTGTAGTAAAAAAAAATTATGACTGACATAACTAAAATCAAGTATGTGAAAGAATTATGAGGAATTAAAATATGGTATTTTAAAATGCTGAGTGGCTCAATCGATTTTTATATAATTTGAGAGTCAATTCCATTCTTTAGTAGGATACGAGAAAGTGTTCTTTTAAAGCTGTATGCTATTCTAAGGTAGTTTCATTGAGTATCCTTTAGTAGTATTCTTAATCACTGAAATTACAACCACACGGAAATCTAAAGAAAAAGTATCTCACTGCAGTATTTTTAATAAGTTGTGATGAAAGACGTAGATTTGTAGAATGTACATATTATTACAAAACTGTCTGTATTATATTCAGTATGTATGATTCATTCCTACAGTAGTTCATAAAGACTATGCCTACCATATATTCTCGCATGTAAGACAAGACTCAAAATAGCAAATTACGATCGAAAAACAGGGGGTCGTGTTATATGCGTAACACATACCATACACATTTTTTATTTTAAAATCATGTTTGTCTTATATGTGGATTGTCCATAACATGCAAATTTACTAACTGAAATAGGCCAAGCCGTCACGGCAAAGGTGGCCGTCCTAAATAATTGTAGGCCATCCAAAAGACGGCCGGACGGCTCACTGGCTAAGCCTATGAATATGTGGGGATAGAAGATTTTGATGAACATTTATAAGCCCATAAAATGGTATTACTGCCCATAAATGGATTGAGCCTATATTTAGTTCACATTATTAGTGGATTAGTGGTCTTATATTATTTCGACATACAAAAAAGCGTCCAAAAAATATTCTCAAAATCGGGGGTTGTCTTACACACGGATTGCCTTATAGGCGAGAATATACAGTATATTTCTTTACTGTACTTTCTTTTATCTGAAAAAATGTGGGTTCCATGGCTTTATATCTCTTTCATAGTAAGGACAGGCAATAATGATATAGCAGTCAGTGAATAAATCTCAAGATGTAATTAACACAAAAATCTTAAAACATAGTGCCGTATTTTTGTACTATGCTATAGAAAGTTTTACACAACCCCATTTTATTCCAATGTTAAACACCATAATTTTACATCCTATACTTAGCATTACATTTATAGCTTTAATAAATTGAATTATAAATTTATGTGAATTATAATTTTCAAAATACAAAAATTGTAAAATTATTTTTATTTCAATTTAATTAAATACTACAGATACTACTGAAAGTAACATAATTAAAGTAGAACTGTCTATTTGTAATCAAAATTTAACTTAAGCAACTGTTTGTTTATTTATTCGGCATCTTTCAATACATAAAAATAGCATTAAAATATTATAAAAAAAATTAAAAATTATATACAAAATTTTTTCATAATTTTACATCCTATACTTAGCATTACATTTATAGTTTTAATAAATTAAATTATAAATTTATGTGAATTATAATTTTCAAAATACAAAAATTTTATTTCAATTTAATTAAATACTATAGATACTACTAAAAATAACATAATTAAAGTAAAACTGTCTATTTGTAATCAAAATTTACCTTAAGCAACTGTTGGTTTATTTATTCGGCATCTCTCAATATATAAAAATGGCATTAAAATATTATAAAAAGTTTAAAAATTATATACAAAAGGACACAGAAAAAAATTCTGATGCCAGGATAAGTTAATAAGTTAATAAAATAACTTATTTCCAATGTGGTGGAATAAAGTAAGAACATGAGCATCTGCGATACAACTATAAATAATTATTGAAAAGTTTGTGAAGCAAGAGTAATTCATGGTATTGGAAAGGAACCACAGAACATGCTAAATTAAATTTTTGGAGAAGAGGATTATCTTGGAAATGACCGCAAATTGAAATTATACTTGGTTTGCTTGGTTCGTTAAATTAAAAAATTCTGGAAACCTCAAAACTTTAAGATACACCATCTGTCATAAAATTTAGATAAAAGTCTAAAAAAATCAAATTATCATATGGAATAGCTCATTTGAAATTTGATATGATTGATTTGGAATTACACTGGGCCTGCGGTTCATAGTCTGTATCCGAGAAGACTTGTTCCACAACCAGAAACATGACGAGCATGCCGCTCGGACCATCACCGCATTATGGTTGTTGTGAACCTGCCTTAACCACTAGGCCATTCGATTCACCTAAGGTTAAGGTCACCAGATTCATGTAATTTATTGTCAAACTATACATAAAGAATATATTTTTTTTACGTTAGTATGCTGTACATGCAGGATGTAAATCTAAACTTTATTCTGTGGCATATTTTCTAAAAAAGATGAATATTGTAGGTGAAAGCATAATGTAGGTAAAAAGCTAAGTGAATCATCACAAACCAGGATTTTTTTCTACAAGCTAGCCAGGGTCTTACAAAAATAGAATTAAAGCAATAAAAAATACTAGACAGGCAATTCACTGTTCTTTGATCACATTATATCTGTGACCAAATACAAAACCTTTTTGTAGAACATACAGGATAGACAATGTATAGAAAAAAAATGAAAAAAATTAATGGCGTCGTCTGTGTAGTTCTGAATAAATTTAATTTGATAGATTGTGATTGTTGCAAAATTTAAAATAAAAGGGGATTTTTTGGCATCCAAACTCAGCATAGGAAAGAGAAACTGCATTAACTCAGTTGGCTATATGGATGGTAGCCTATGTGCACTGAGCCATGAAGAATTTTGGGACCCTGGTTTAAACCAGACCTTCCTACAGTGTCAATCAAACTAATCAGGAACAGGGTCTACAAAGCGCATATGTTTCACAAACACACATAAATTGGTTGAGGTCCAGGCTCTCAACCCTAAGGTTATCGGTTCACTTCTCATGGTGAACTCTGGTATGGTAAAATGGTACTGGATTCGTAACTGGACAACGCTACAATTTCTCATCTCCGTGAAGGTAGTCCTCCTGCAATATATCATACATAAAAACAATAATATCCAATATTACTAGAACGTCCTACTAGGTACCCATCTATACCTCTGGTTGGAGTGAGAGAAACATTAGTAATATGCCTTAGGATACCATAAAGAATTAAAATAATCATGGGAGGCAGAATAATGGAGTGACTGATAATGTGCTCAGCAACAAAGCAAGTAGACTGCTACCTGGATGCAACTTTCTATCAATAGAGGGCTCTTTACAATGTCCATCTTAATGAAGAGATGTTTCTCATAGTTTGTTATCCCATTTGTACAGTCTATTGATGAAGTCCACTGTTTGGATGAAAGAAATTAAATTTTATACAAGTTACTCTTAAAAGTGCTGCATCATTTCTTTTATATTAATGAAGAGAGAAATTTGTCAATTCAGTCAACACATAGGGCATATTTTGAATATTATTTTTGCTTAAAAATAGACGATGACTCTTTCTTACACAATGACTAACATTCATATGCCTTAGATTTACAAATAATCAATTTCCAAGAAATTAAATTAATTTCTGACTTTAACATTACATTAAGTTATATTGACATTATAGACCTCTCAGATATCAGTTATTTTCTTAGGTGTATCGGCCTTATAAGTGCATAAAACAATAATGAAGAATATATATAATGATAATAACAAATTTGAATATGATGATAGGGGGCAAGGACAGCTCCCTCCTCCCCATCCTCTGCATCACAGTTGGCTTTATACTGATAAATTTATTGTTGAAACAAAATAACAAACACAATTTTAGAACGCCAGTTTCAATGTACCGTCTGCGGTGTAATATGTCAAATGAATAACTGTATCAGCCACAGTGGTTCAAGTTATCAACTTGCAATATCAAAACAATTTAGTTTTTCAGAGGTTGCTTGAAGATGATAGACCTCAAGGCTTCGTTTCCTCAAAATCGCCACACTACATTTTCAGTGCAATCGTTGTACTGTGTAGCAGTCCCTGACGCAATCGAGAAGGCTCCCTGACCAATCAGCATCACCGAAAGCTGTTGGCGATAGTGTGTAGCGATTGTATGGAAACCAAGCTTAACCTAATTACCAGCCAATTTAATATTACTTTATGTATTTGTTAATTTGTGAGTCAAAATTTACATGTGGTAATTTTAAATTGAAAGCTAATAACTCACTTAACATAAAGTAAGCAATTCTAATATAAACAAATTACCTTAAAATTGTTATATTGGTGAAGCTGTAGAATGCGTGAGCTCTGAGGCTTTTCCCCTTCAATCCCCCCCCCCACCCTCTACAGAGACTTTACCTCTAGACATTAGGCATCTCCAGTGAGAACCTACAGTATGGGTCCCCCACAGTTAAAGCTTATTCCCCCTCCTCTGCAAAAAATATTGAATCTCTGCCACTGTGTGGAAGAGAATTTAAGCAATTTTTAAGAGTATGCTCCTAAAGAGAATATGAACTGCCATACCATCTAAGATGTGTATGTGTGTGTGTGTGTGGATGTGGCTATACAGAATATCAATTCATTTATGGACTCGATAAGAAGTATCTTAAATAGTTTATACTTGTTTAAATACCAATAGTATTAGATTTGCCACTTAAGTATGTGGAGCATGCTATAATACCTAAATGCGTTCAGAATTCCCAGGTTATTAAATGAACCCTGGAAACAACCTCTGACCTAGAATAAAACATTATAGTTGTGACTGCATCTGCAACAAAAAGATAATGGTACTGTATTGTCAGTAATAGAGCTCATTTGCACTTACCTGAATTGGAAAGAACAAGAAGAATACCCCGGTACCCAAAATGGCAGATGGTCCAATCAAAATGGCTGTGTAAACCCATCCGGTTATAGCTAGCACTGGACCGACAAAGAGAAATGGTAGAAACAGGACCATGTCCAACACACGCTGCCCATCACTTGTACACAAATTTATTATCTACGGAAAAATTCAATAAGCCATATAATTATTTAAAAACATACCACTTTGGTAATCATAGTTTGTTACATAATATGAAATTATGCAACTATTTCTGCCATCCAGTAAAGTAAAAACAATTACAAAAACAGAGACATATTTACATATTAAGCAAGACGATGACCTTTAGAGCATTGGAGAGTCAATTTGAACCTCTAATACACTAATAAAGTCTCATTTTGGTAATACTACTTATTCAGTTAAACAAGGTTAGTAAAGTATTCACAAAAAATATTCATAAATTCAATTCTTACTGTAGTAGTATAAGACCAGACTATGTGCTGTTAAATGTTTAAGTAAGTTAAACAAACACGAAACAAAAATATGTACACAAAAGAAATGTAGAATTATCTTCAAAAAAGTACACAATGATATGTAATGAATATAACGTAAGAATTTAACTATTTCGACATCAGTTAATAACAGTTCTAAGTATTAATCAAAAACTAAAGTATAAAAAAAGTAAGATATTGAAATATTGATTTTTTTTTCGTTCAAATTTATTGGAGTTGCTATATTTACAGTCTAACACTAAGCTGCTAGTCTGGCAATACGACCAGTAATAGTATAGCATGGTGGGGAGCTGCTATATTTACAGTCTAACACTAAGCTGCTAGTCTGGCAATACGACCAATAATAGTATAGCATGGTGGGAGTTGCTATATTTACAATCTAACACTAAGCTGCTAGTCTGGCAATACGACCAGTAATGGTATAGCAAGGTGGGGAGTTGCTATATTTACAGTCTAACACTAAGCTGCTAGTCTGGCAATACAACCAGAAATAGTATAGCAGTGGGGAGCTGCTATAGTTACAGTCTAGCACTAAGCTGCTAGTCAGGCTAATATGACCAGTAATAGTATAGCGTGGTGGGGAGCTGCTATATTTTCTGTCAAGCACTAAGCTGCTAGTCGGGCTAATACGACCAGTAATAGTATAGCGTGGTGGGGAGCTACTATATTTTCTGTCTAGCACTAAGCTGCTAGTCAGGCTAATACAACCAGTAATAGTATAGCGTGGTGGGGAGCTGCTATATTTTCTGTCAAGCACTAAGCTGCTAGTCGGGCTAATACAACCAGTAATAGTATAGCGTGGTGGGGAGCTGCTATATTTACAGTCTAACACTAAGCTGCTAGTCATGCTAATACAACCAGTAATAGTATAGCGTCATGGGGAGTTGTTATATTTTCTGTCTAGCACTAAGCTGCTAGTCATGCTAATACAACCAGTAATAATATAGCATGGTGGGGAGCTGCTATATTTTCTGTCTAGCACTAAGCTGCTAGTCGGGCTAATACAACCAGTAATAGTATAGCGTGGTGGGAAGCTGCTATATTTACAGTCTAACATTAAGCTGCTAGTCATGCTAATACAACCAGTAATAGTATAGCGTGGTGGGGAGCTGCTATATTTTCTGTCCAGCACTAAGCTGCTAGTCGGGCTAATACAACTAGTAATAGTATAGCGTGGTGGGAAGCTGCTATATTTACAGTCTAACACTAAGCTGCTAGTCATGCTAATACAACCAGTAATAGTATAGCATGGTGGGGAGCTGCTATATTTTCTGTCTAGCACTAAGCTGCTAGTCAGGCTAATACAACCAGTAATAGTATAGCGTGGTGGGAAGTTGCTATATTTACAGTCTAACACTAAGCTGCTAGTCATGCTAATACAACCAGTAATAGTATAGCATAGCGGGGAGCTGCTATAGTTTCTGTCTAGCACTAAGCTGCTAGTCAGGCTAATACAACCAGTAATAGTATAGCATAGTGGGGAGCTGCTATATTTTCTGTCTAGCACTAAGCTGCTAGTCATGCTAATACAACCAGTAATAGTATAGCGTGGTGGGGAGATGCTATATTTTCTGTCTAGCACTAAGCTGCTAGCAGGCTATACGACTGGTTATAGTGTATCTAGCTTACAGCATGCTAGGGAGTTTCTATGTTTCAGTCTAGCACATAAGCTGCTACTCAGGCTATCGGACCAATATTAGTGGATTGTAGCTGTAATACCGTATGCTGGGGAGTAGTTATGGTTCTGTCTAGCTCATAGGCTGCTAGTCAGGCTAATTTGTTGGAAGATTAAGAGCCCAAAAATTTAAGTGAGCACCAATCCTGAACATATGGCTATAGCTTAAAACGCTTTCTCGATGGTTGAGTTGGATTTCTGAGCAATAGTGACTACTCTCTAAATAATAGGTTTTAAAGTGGCGTAATTTTGGTAAGCTATAACTGCTTTCAAATTGGAATATAACAATGCTGACCTGTTGTTTGTGATTGGTGTGTACTTAGTTAGATGTGCTTGTTTTTATACAGACTATTCTTATTATTTCATATACAGTAGGCCTAATTCAACTCAAAATATGAAAAGATACTTTAAAAATTATGATTCATCATCATTACTACCACTAATTATCATTGTCATTAGAATTGTCATTATTAACATAACTAAGATTATTTTCCTTATTGTTGTATAATTAGCACTGCACTGTCATTAAATGCTATAAGCAAAAAATGCTAAAGATTTAAAGAGTTTTAAAAATATTGTGTCAAACCTGACCAGATTTTATTATTTCAAATTTGAAATTGTTTAAAAGTAGTATTTAGTTCCTAATTTTTACAGTTGGTAGGTTTTTACTTTTCCATGTTTGTTTTCCTTTTCTTTTATCATACCAGTAGTTTAAGAACATGGCCTCTTGGAAGACCAACCTTTGTAAAAAGATTGAAATGAGTATCCATGGATAAATAAAGTTTATTATTATTATTATTATTATTATTATTATTATTATTATTATTATTATTATTATTATAACACATTATACTTATAGTATTCAACAGGACAAAGATCTGTTTAGTAGTTAAGAGTGATTTGATTGTATTGAATACCACTCTTAATTTCCAGGGCAACAAATAAATTTTATTTTGATCCCGATCTTTACCATGATTTTTGTATCATCTTGATTGTCATCTTTACTATTTTCATTATAACTATCATATAAAAAAATTTATTAAATAATTTCAAAGATTTCATTGGTAAGTTGCACATATATTTTTTTTATCATTGTAGAATTTTTAATAATGGATTTCACAAGGACCAATGTAGCAGGGAACATGCTAAGTTTCCCCTACATTAGCATAGGTTGTGTGTAACATTTTTCCTTGAGTAAATCAGGAAATGGGAAGACAAAAAGTTCTACTTCTTCTACTGCTACTACGAGCTGCTGTCACTCCTCAATTGGTCTTTAGTGACATTACCAGTTAATATCATTGTCATCCCTACGAAAATTTCAGTGTCCCCTTTGTCAATATCATTGTCATATCATTTCCATTAACATCCTGGAATACCATTGAACTAAAATAGTTTTGTCATAAACGTTGATATTTACGACTCTGTTATGCATTGTCTACATCTGCACTGACAATATCAGCTATGACTGCCAAATATAAATGATTCATTTAGACAGCCAATGATTTATGGGCTGGAATGTACTAGAAAAAAAAAAAAACCTTTTGTAAAATCATTCCTTAAATAATATTTCTGACAGCATACACAACATTGTACGGTATCATACATGACCCACTAGTATGATGAATATATGAGGCTTGCCATCCGAAAACCTGTATCAATGACCAATTGACTTTTTAATATATTCTTTTCTCCATATTGTGAGCTTTACAATGATGGAGCATATAATTGAATTGCCTTTAACTAATGCCAAAGTTGAGTAAAAGTAAGGCTTCTCTATGCTAAATTACAGAATATTGCCACAATCTGCTAATCACCAAGTTTAACAATTAACGACAGTAGACAGGCTTTGGAATGGTAGCTTCATATAAATTAAAACATGTATTCAGTCACACATAACTTTGAAATGTAAACATTAATATTGTACTTACACTCAAAAATCTTATGTCACAATGATAATTCTAAAGTTGGCATATTAACAACATTTTAAGTAAACTGAAGTAACTTTACCAACAAGAAACTTCTACCCTTCGCATGTTTCCTGAATAAGGAGTTGCATATAAGTATTTGTTTAAAGTCAATCAAACAATAGAATTAATAAATAGCTAAATAGTAAAGTGTACTGTACACATGTTTTTCTGAGTGCTTCTTCTGTTTGATTTGATGTTACCTAGCAATGCACATCAAAGTCCCTTATGTATAAGCAAAGTACCTGTGATTGAATATGACTGTAACTATACCAATGAATATAAATTCTACCTTTTTGGAAAACACACAAGTGACAATGAAATTACTTTACACAGATTCAATTCACAGAATGCTTATAATCCAATATGACACACTTGACAGTTTTTAGTGTCGGTCATAAAAATGAAGAACTACAGTACAGGCCTTATAATATTAAATGTGTCACATTGGCTCATATCTATTTAGTCTACAATTATATTGTATTGCAAGATTACTAAGAGGAATTTAAGGAAAAAGTTGAACTGGCCCATGTCAATGTAGTAGAAACAGGGAAAATTATGTTCAATATATAGAAATATATCAAAGACTTTACTGATTCACAGACATTCCAACAACAATTCAGAAATATTCTGCCTGGGTTTATGGATAATTAAAACCAGTACTAATCAGATGCCTTTGTTAAGCCAACAATATACTAGAAGGCTATTAAATGTATCATAAAAGGAATCCCCTCAGCACATGCTGGAGTAAATTAGGGGGAACTAACCATTATGAAGAGTATATTGCCCTCATTGTAACAAGTAGAGATGGAATGGAAATGCAAATATTACAGGGAAAAGATGATGTGGAAACGACGTCAGAAACATCAAAATTTAATAAATCGTCTTTTACCCTAAAATGAAATTTACAATTAAGTTTTTCTTTATAACTTACTGAAGGGTTGTATTACATTTAATTTCTTATACCACATGTTTAACTCATATTAAACTGTACTTTTGACCAAAAGTGTACATTGATTTTCTAATTAC